TTGTATTTTAATTAAAATAAATATAAAAGTAAAAAAACAAATAAGGAAAAAAAGAAATTGGGCCTGGTTACAGCATAAAAAAAGGGAGAGTGTGAATCGCAAAGAAGGTCCAAGCCCAACTAAGTTAGCGCCTGATCCTGTGTGAGCAGATCCAGGAGGTTCATCATGGGCTTACATATTCTTGGGCGTTGGATCAGATATGTGAGGATCTGATGGTGAGAAGTGGCAGGGAGTATGGTTGATGTGTGGGGATGCGCTGCATGTGATCTGCAAAAGTCATAAAAAATGAAAAAAATCACAAAAGGCAAGGATCGAACCCACACCCTTGTACACAAATGCCTTATCGTGCGCGCTTCTACCACTGGGAAGGATATACATCTGATAACTTAATCAAATCAACGCATATATATTATAAATAAATCAGGATAGTCGGAGAAGTGCCGAAGCCCTAGCTCTGGTCGTCTTCTCCGGTAAGTATATTTTTCAAACTTGCAAAACAAAGCACATTAGAAAGGAAGAAGGGGAATGTCCCTCTAAATTGACCCCCCTGAGTCCATTGGTGGCCTTAGTTTGGGCTAAATCTGGTTGTATAGCGAGATACAAAGAAGATAACTCAAATCGGTATGAACATGGCAAACCCTTATCCAGTCGTTATGGGGCTATGCTATGGTTCAATTCTGCATTGTTATACCTCATAAATCCATTAGTAAGCATGCGTTAAAACACAAAGAAAACATAATATATAAATTTCATGCAATGATGGAAATCGATGATGCTTAGTGGTGCATTTCGAGCCCTTTGGATCATCAAAGGTGATCCATTCTTACCCTACAGTGCTTCAGGAATTGAATGGGACCAATATTTGGCATTGAGGGAGGCTGCAAGATAGGGTTTCAATTTGCCCTAATTTTGAGAACTTTTGAGATTTTTGGAGAGGTTTCTTGTGCAAGAATTTCATGTGGTATATTGTCTGAAATAATATGAATATATAGAGCTGGATTAGGTCAACCAAATATGGGCTTGGTCCTTGTATTAAAGCTTTTTATTTTATCCGTTTAATTTTGACTTTAAATAAATTAAAATTAAAATAAATAGAATAAAAATCCAAGGAGTGCATGGATAAGTTTTGAGGTTCATATTGAGGCCTTATGCACGTTTGGATCTTGAAACACACGTCCAATAACCCAAAAATTCAAGTTTGGTCACTTTAGGTTTCATGCATTTTCTCAAAATTGTCCAACTTGCACCAATTATAACTCTCTCAATTTTTATCATTTGAAAGAGATCTTGAACTTTTTGGAAATCTCAATATGTCCTCTATAATCTCAATGTTGATCATTTTTTTATTTAAATAATTTATATTTATGTAAATTGCTTTGACTAAAAGTGTCTTTTTTGTTGACTTTTGAAATGACCTGTAATGTTTTGGCCCATATCTCTCAAATGAAGCATTTTTTGGACTTGAGCTTAGAGAGGCAAAGTTGTATATAATTGAATATCCTTCAAAATAAGATTTGGTTGAGAAAGTTATGATGATGCATGTGGTAGTTATGCTTAGTCAAAGATCAGTTGACTTCTCCTTAAGAAAACCCTAATTTGGTAACTTTTAAATTTTGGTAAATCTTGAGTTTTCTTGATGAATCATGACCAACCCTTGATCAAATGATGAATGTGACTTGAAAATCTTGATGTTGACTAAAAATCTTGAAGTTTGACTGTATGTTGACGATAATTGACTTTTTGTCCAATGAAATTGATTTTCAGTCATCTGAGCAATTGATTGAGCAAACTTGTGATGCAAGGCTTGAAACTTGGCATGCGAATTTTTTGAGACATATGAGGAACCATGAAATCCACTTGAGGCATTATAATCTCAAATTTCCTTGAGAAAAGTGAAACCCTAGTTGTAGGTCAACTGCTTAGGAGGAAAATTTGTCTAATCAAATATTGAGTAGCCTTGAGAAATTGAAAATACTAGGGGAATGAGAAGATGTCTTGAAGAAAATGGGAAGGCAAATTTTGGGGTACAACAGATACTCTTACTTTTTATCAATTTCTATAGTGGATTATGTATACTTGCACATTATATAATTTTAACCCAAACCATATGGCCGGTGAAAACCTGATTGGAGAGCTTTAGTTGTTGTGTGTTCTCCATTGTAGTGTCCTCCGTACGAAGAATTATTACAATGCCAAATTATACTTTATGCCTCCTTGTTGCTCACACATCTTATTAAAAGGTGAGACGCTCCTATTTTGAAAAGATATGGATCATCTCACACATTGTTTTGCGTCCTTTAAGAATTTCTTTCTTTGTTGCCAATTTAGGCCCTCTAGGATAATTAAGACAACTTTGTAATTGGTCATATTAGCAAACCAGAACCTTTATGTATCATGATTATTTTCTCATAGAGGAATTCTTCTGGTACTTTTTTCTATTGAATGGTTATATATTTTCTTACTATCGAGATAAGCATTTTCTAATCCTTTTTGTCTTTTATTTCTGTTGGATTATCATGAGGAGCATCCACATTGGATTAAGATCAAAACACAAGTGAAAGAGACACTACATATTCATCCAAAAATTTATAAAGTGCTAAGCAATGTGAGACTTCCGACTCAAACTTGTGTACAACACTCAAGCAAAAGCTTCTTCCATCCACGTGCTCGTAGCACCGTTACATAAACTTCAACAGGACACGCCGTCTGACACTGAAACCAGTGTTAGATCATCATAAGGAGCATCTACATTGGGTCAAGAGCAACACACAAATGAAAGAGGCACTACATATTTACCCTAAACTTTAAGGTAATAGATATATGAGTCATCTCGCTTATAAAGTGTTCAACCTCTACTTTTTTTAAAAATGTGGGACTTCTGAGTCACACTTGTGTACTATAATTTCCATGTCAAATTATTAGTGAAAATTTTGTAGTTTATATTTATTTTTAAATTATAGTTACATAATAGGCCTACGTGACAATATTTTAAGTTTACACTGAAAATTAGTTTAAAATCATTTTATACCGACAAGACATTTGTATTAAACTAATGAACTGTTTTGAATCTTGTCGTAAATTACAACAAAATTCAATATTAATTTGTGAGGAAATGAATAATAGCAACCAAAATAAATAGTCTACAACAACAATAATTCATACACAGATAATATAACAGAATAAGGTGAGAAAAAGACAAAAATTTATTTATCCACTTCGATCAAACGATTTACTCTGGGGGAGAGAGCAGCTCTCCAATCACTATACTCAGAAAGTTGTTACAAGAGATTGCAGATGTGTTACAAGAAAATAGTCTTTGCCTTCAGGTACTCAAGAACAGGCTCCCAAGAATTACCTTATTTTCTACCTAAGCATTTTCCAACCTCTTCAATCTTAAATATATGAATAACTCAAACTCAAGGTGTAAACAAGTGTTTCTCAATTCTCAATAACTTTAGATAACTCTAGAGGTTTCCAAAAACTCTTACCTTTCTAAAGTTTCCCTTGATAATAGTCAAAACTCTATGCTAAGCCTTTAAACCCTTACTCTCTAGTCTTCAGTATTGTTGTAATCTCTAAGATTATCACACTATAATAAAAGAAAAGATACATATTTATAATAGTCAAAATCCAACACATCTATAACAAATCTCAAAACATATCTCATTAATTGTTAGAATAAAAGATATTATTATAATTTAATAATATCTCTCAAATATTATAAATATCTTATAGTATGTCTTAAACTAGTATAAATATATATCTTATAATATCTTTTATAATATATATATATATATATATATATATATATATATATATATATATATATATATATATATATATATATATATATATATATATATATATATATATATATATATTATACTATCTTTCACAATATTATAAATATCTTTTTATATTAATTTATATGATCTTTAAATTAATATAAAATATTCTTACATTAATGAATGGATCAATAAATCGAACCGACCGAATCCGATATCCATAAATCGTTCGGAATATATTACTTTTCGACTTTTTAATTTTTGAAAATCTCAAAACATACTTTCTTGCTTTTCATCAACAAAGGTTTTTAAAGCATATTCCAACATGAACTAATTCTGAAAGAATAACTAATGATAAACTGTTATAACATTATTTTTGTTGTTGTTTGGTGCATATTGTTAGTATGAAGGCTTGCATTTTTAATTCTTTATACAACTTATGTTGTCTAGTTCTGTTTGTTATTCATGTCGGGAGGTATCTTTTTCTTCCTCTGATTTTTCTATGTTCTGTTCAGTTTTTATAATCTATTTTGTTTCAAATTGTTACCTTTACATGCTATAGAAAGAAACTATAAGTAATTTGTGATGTATGTATGTTTCGTTGCACTTTAAATAAAAACAAATTGATTTTAGAAATGTACACTAATTCATAATATATAGTTGAATGTTTTACAAGAATTGATTTGCCAATAGATTGAATATAGGTTTGATATTACAATAGATTTGTAGAAATCATGATGAGTCACTATGAGCAATAACATGGTTTTAAATTACACTGCAACTGCTATAAAAAAATGAGTCAGATAGAGTTTTCACCCGAGATCCAATGCTGGTTGAACCTTTGACTAATGACTGCACCATTTTTCAACTGCAGTGATCATGGTCCAATTATTATATAGGTGAGTTATAGCATGGTAAGACCAAGTGCTCAAGTAATAAATTGGTTACAGTCCTTGTTTTCCACAGCAAGTAAAAGTCCAACATTATTTTATTAGTATACCAAACTCCAAAATATTTTAAAGGTCCTAGGCTGTGTCTGTCCCCTACTATTTATAACTCTCACAAGCCCTTGCAACAGGAACAGGAACATCAGCTTCTTCTAATCTCCATATCTGTCTCAACATTGTGTGTGCTTAGTCCCTCAAATTCTAAGAGAAAACTCACATACTTGAGATTTCTATCCTCACAAAAACTATAAAAAAAAGAAAAAAAAGAATGGAGTTAGATAACCTAGTGAAACAGCTAAGTGCACCTAGACCAAAAGACCAAAACTGTGTTTTTAAGGATGGTGTTTCTGTTGGTGGTCAAAAAGCACAACCTCAACAGCATAAAAAACAAGTTAGAAGAAGACTTCACACTACTAAGCCTTATCAAGAAAGGCTTGTGAATATGGCAGAAGCTAGGAGAGAGATCGTCACCGCCTTAAAATTTCACAGGGCGTCCATGAAAGAAGCAAGTGAACAACAGAAGAAGCAGCAACAAGAACAAGAAGCTCGAGAACAGGCGCAAAAGCAATCACTGTCTCTTCAACTTTCACAGCATGAAAGATATAATAAGTCTAGGAGAAACCATAGAATTTATCCTTCATGCAGAACCAATTCTTCAAGCTATTTCAATGATTTTTCCTATCCTTCGGTTCCGAATTCTTACACTTGGCCTGCTGCTTCAGAGATTCTTCCACCACCACCGCCGCCGCCGCCGACCCTTTTGTCTGAAAATCCCAATTTTATTCTTCCGGATCAAACTTTGGGACTGAACCTCAACTTTCATGATTTCAACAACTTGGATATTACTGTTCATCTTAACAGTAACTCCTCATCATCATCTTCACCATCCTCTTACTCATCTGGAACCTCATCTTCTTCTGCTTCACAGGTTGGAACATCACAGGTAGATGGTTTTTCTATTGACTCACATGCTGCAACTCATGCTACTGGAACCTTACACACTGCGATGAATGATGAGGCTATGGCGGAGATGAGATCATTAGGAGATCAACATCAAATGGAATGGAATGATACTATGAGTTTGGTTAAATCAGCTTGTTGGTTCAAGTACTTAAAACACATGGAACATGCTGCACCTGAAACTGAAACCAAGGTTGAAAATGATGCATACCGCCATTTTGATCAGCCTCTGGAGTTTCCACCTTGGTTGAATGCAAATGAAAGCTGCCTAGAACTGTGTTCAGAGAATAATAATTTTCAACATTCTACTTTACCTTGGTAAGTTTTTCATATGTTTCATATAATTTTTCATATGCAGTGTTTTTTTTTGGTACATCTTATGATGTTTCATGTTAGTTAATAAAAAGTAACAGGACAGTGTAGTTTGCTGCAGAGAAAATCACAAGATCAAGATCATATGATTTGTTAATTTAAATTTAAATTATAAAATTAAAATATGTATATTAGTGGATTTAGATGGAATATAAAACTAAAAATAAAGTTTATTTTATACATTTCCTATTGTAGTGGGTTTCCTAGTGCTGTGGAAAATTCCACTTGTGAAGCAGCTGTGGATTTCTTATGCATGTTAAAAATTCTTTTTGTTTTGTTCTGTTAAAAAATAATTGATTTTAATATTATAAAAATACATGCACTTGCTAAAGTGTTGTTATATACGTTGATTATTGAATTAAATATTAAGTTATTTTTATGACAATGTGTACACAGCATGGACATTGGAGAAATTGACGGTATGGATGACGATTGGCTAGCGTGACAACGGCAAGGATTGATTGTTTTCGTTTAAGTCAAGTTTTGCTACTTGTTTTATTTTTACATTTGTGGGGGATAGTGGACACTGTTATTATAATTCTCTTACCCCACTTTTTCACTTCTTTTTTGGATTATAAATAAATAAGGCATGTTCAGTATGAGTGATGAATATTTTTGTTTCCATTACTCCTTTTTTTTTTCTTCATAATTTATTTATGTTGTAATATTTAACAATATCAATGTCAATTCTTGTAATTGACTATTAAGTCATTTTGAATTGAGAGGTATTGATATTTAGAGAAGGATGAGTTTTCATTTCTATTGAATTGAATTTCTTATATGATTATATAAGAAAAATATTATTAAATAGTCTGATTAGTACTGACTAATTAACAAAAAAAATTAATTGATCAATCAACCATTCTATCTAACTTCTAAAAACAAATTAAAAAGTTACAACGGAGAGTTTGGAAAAGTCGAGAGTAACAGGTGTTTAATGCTCCATAATTACAAGAGAAAGATATCACGTCTTTATTAAAAACTTTAAGTGTTAGATATATAAGTCATCTCTTTTTTAAAAAAAAATCATCATTCCACTATTTATAGGTGATATAAAATTTAACCACTCATACTTGTACCTAACAATCTCTTCAACAAATGTCACTACCTATAACATGATCCAACACCGGATCCAATTTTCGCTCCCCTACCAAGTCGAATCACGAATTTGATACCACTTATTGGATATAGGGAAGTCAAGAATAAAAACGAGCATCCAATGCTCCGGGACCAGAAGAGAGATATGTCGCATCTCCACCCAAAACCTTAAGGCATTAGGCATATGCATCAATTCTCTTATAAATTCAATATTTCAACATTCATAAGGGGGTGTGAGACTTAACTACTTACACTTAAACCCAACAACAATAATATAAACTAGAAATTGAACTAGTTAGTTTGAAGGATTGTTAAAACTAAAAATGTATGCAAAAGTCTTAATTTCTTATTCATTGATAATTCCCTTTTATAATGTCTATTTACATCTCAAACTAAAGTATTAAACCTATTAGTTTTCTGTTGAAACTAACCCTAACACAAATTTTCTTCCAATTACAACACTAAATTGTACTTTATTAGGCCTATATCAAATTCTAACAAAACTAATTACAACAAGTCATCCCTTAAACTGGATTGTATATAACATTCAGTTTAGCTCTGAAAATTTTCACATTCCATTTTGCTTTATTAGCTTCTCAAATGCTCATAACTTAAAAGACTTGGTCATTATATTAGAGAGTTGATTGACAAAACCACAATGCACCAATTCTATAACTCCACTTCTACTGAGATTCCTTAAGAAATGAAAGTGCACATTAATATGTTTGATTCTCTCGTGCATGACTAGATTTTTGGATAGCTTGATTGTTGAAGTGTTATAACCTAACACTATCATGCTCTTCTACATAGTTACTCTCAAACTTAGGATCCTTCCCAAGTGATAATGAAGGAACCACGATTTCTCTCGGGTCGGGACAGTGTCACAGTTTAGTCCATGGTGAGATGTTGAGTTTTGGTTTGAAGGTTGATGGTGAAGGTTTATTTAGGAGGACAGTTTTGGTTGCAGTAGGTTGAAGAAGTTGGTTATAAAGTTGTTGTTAGTGAATTTGAAGGTTGTGGATTAAAGTAGGTTTTGAAGTATGCAATAGGAATGAGGGGAGTGAAGATGAGAGTCGAAAAAGGGTTTTTGTATGCAATCAGATGTATTTTCTCTACCTTGTGTGTATTTGTGTGTGTGTGTATATGGTGTGCTTTTCATAGTGAATGAGAGTGGATTTTTGGGTGGGAAAACTTGAGGATTTAAATACTTTTGATAGTATGATTTGTAGCTTTTGGATGTAGGTTATGTTTTGTTGAATTTGTGTAATGTTTTGTACATGTTTGCAGCAGGTTGATGGCTAGTCTTGGATTGATGTGGGCAGCATATGAGTGCTTTGAAAGTAGGGCATTTGGACTGGTTTTGGTTGTATGGGTAGCAAGATTTTGACATGTTTTTTTGGACTGTTTTACAGTTTGGACAATATGATACAAGGCTTGTTTTGTTTGGGATAAGGACATGTTTGTTGGACAGGGTCTGTGCAATAGGAAAACAATGGTTTGGACTATTTTTATGCAAAGTTTAGATGGTTTTGGGCAGCAACCTTATGGTGAGTTGGACAACAAGGTTTTTGATAAGGTATTGGGGCAAGGCAAATTGGCATGAACATGTTTAGGACATTAGAATTAGACTTTTTGATAAATTGTAACCACTTCATTTTGAATGAATGATTCATGAGCACACCTTACTTTTGATCAAATATTGCCAATTTTGAACATGAAATTGTGTGAACTTTAATTTTACTTGCAATTTTGAATGAGCTTTGAATCTTGTATCGAACTCTTTGAATGGATATTGCAAAACATGAATGGGATCAAATGATACTTGGATAAAGTCAATGGGTGAACTCTTTTGTAACAAGCATGGACGAAATGATGAGACTTTTAAAATTCATGAATTCCATGTTTCCTTTATTTTCCAATTAGCTTTCTAAGATTTGAATCCAACATTTGTATGTTATCTTACAATTTCATAGGATTGTACTCGAAATAAACTTGTATGTTATGCCTAACTCAAATGACCATTAACTGCCAAACTTGAATTCAACCTCTTACGTGAAGTTGAAAAAGCATAACTTGTACCATAAGAATTTTTTTCTCAAAGTATTGTATCTCAAACCACGGTTGATTGGAGAAAGTATCCATGAATCCATGTTTCTTATCTTAACCAATGTCTTATAACTCAACAAATAGAAGCAAGCTCTTATGACAAGAAAACCTTAGCCATGATGTGTATTAAGTGATGGCCTTGGTCTAAGCCCTAATTGAAATTGATGAACGTGGGCATAAGAAAGTGTATCGTGACTCATGAACCATAGAAAAATATTCTTTTCTCTAGTCCATCCCTTGATAAGAATTCCAATTGAATAACTTATAGTGCAAGTAGTTGATGGAAGATCTCAAGTGAACTCAAACCTAATTTATGAAGAAATGGTCCCCTGATGATAGAGGGACAAAACCCTTTATTTGATAAAGAAGCTCAAACCAAAGTGAAACCCTAATTCGTACCAAACACTGCTTCTTGATCTCATGCTTCATCAAATGAAGGAATGATATGTGAATGATCTAATAAAAATGATGCAAATGAAATGTAAATCCTAAGCCAGATAAAAGTGAAAAGGCGGGACAGATTTGGGGCATTAATCAAAAGCACACGACTATGCATAAATCATTGTCAAGCATTCATTAGGTTACTTAGATCCAGAATCAAGCTATGCTTATTGTTTTTCCCCAAAATTTTATCTCCCATTTTTGAAAAAAATTGATTCAAGACACCTCCTCATGCTCCTAGGGTTCTCAATTGCTCAAGAATACTCAAGGGTTTGAACATACAAGCATCTCTCCTAAGCAATGGCCTACACTTAGGGTTTTGTGTTTCTCAAAGAAAATTGAGTTTCTAATGCCTCAAGTGAGTTTCATGGTTCCTCATATGCTTCGAATAACCCTCATGTCAAGTTTCAAGATTTACATCACAAATTTTCTCAATCAATTGCTCAGATGAGTGAAAATCAACTCTATTGGAGAAAAAGTCAATTGTGATCAACATAACTTTCACATGCTTCATCAAAAAATTCTCAACCAAATCCCATTTTGATGGAAATTCAATTCTATACAACTTTGTCTCTCTAAGCTCAAGTGCAAAAAATGCTTCATTTGAGAGATATGAGCCAAAACATTACAGGTCATTTTGAAAGTCAACAAAAAGAAATCTTTTGTCAAAGCAATTTACATCAAGTTAAAGACTTCAAATGAAAAAGTACTAGTATGAGAGTTGTAGGAGACATCTTGAGCTTTCCAAAAAGTCCAAGATCACCTTCATATGATAAAAATTGAGTGAGATATGATTAGTGCAAGTTGAGAATTTTTTTAGAAATGCATGAAACCTCAATTGAGCAATTTTGAAATATTGGACTAGTGGACCTATCTTCTAAGGTATAAACATGTTCATCACCTTGTAGAGGATCCTAAACTCATTCATACCTTACCATGATTTTATTTATTTATTTATATTCATTTTGTTTTTGTTCAATTAAATACAAAATAAATTAAATTAAATAAAAAAATGACGGACCAAGGCATGTGGGCTTGGTTTTAGATCAGATTTGAGGCCCAAGAACACATATTCAACTTGCAAAAACCGTATTGCCTTAATTTGGGACGAGTTTCACTTGTTTTGGAAGGTTTTTAATTAGTTTTAGAAAGAAATCATGCCATAATTACATATGGTTCCATACCACATTTGTTGACTTAGAATAATTGGCTTATAAATAAACAAACATCAAACCAAGAGGAGGACCATGAATTTCTACCTTAAAAGATAGTTCAAAAAATCACCAAAAAGTCAAGAATTAGGGCATATTCAAATTCCATTTTTCAGTCGTTTTCAGTCCAAACCAAGGACTGAACCATCATCCTGACATTCCCAGGAACACGCCCAGATCAAGAACTAAGAAATTCCATGCCCAAGATCATCATACTCACACTCACTGTTTGGGTAGGGTTTTGAAAATTCAAATCTATTAATTTATGCATGCTTAACTATTTTTGTGTGTCCAAACATATTCTACACGATGATTAGAACATGTTTGAGCCAAAACATGCAAGGTTGAGCGCATGAATCGTGATTTGCCATTGCTAGGGCATAGTCATGGTGAAGCTTCGAAAACTTTTTTATAACCTTTTTCGTTTCTTATATTTCCATTAATTTATTTATTTCTTTTTTAAAATTAAAATAAAAAGACAATAAAAAAAATCAGAAAAAAACTTATAAAATCAAAAAATTAGGTTTTAGTCTTTTTTTATATCAATTAATTTAATTAATTTAGAATTAGGTTTTTGAAATTAAATTAA